CCAGGCCGGGCGGGAGACGGGCTCACCGGGCACCCCGCCCATCCCGCGCGACCCCCCCCGGCCCTCCTGGCCGCCGGGCAAGGCTGGGGAGTGGGTGCGGGCAGGGGTGTGCGCGGCGGGGGATGGAAGAGCGGGGGGGCGTGTGTGTACACAGCTGGGGAGTGGAAAAGATGGGTGCCGAGCGGGGAATGGAAGCGGGTGCCAGCATTGTGGTGTGCAAAGCTGGGGAATGGAAAGTGCTCGTGCAAAGCGGGGAATGGAAAAGTGGGTGGGCGGGTGTGCAAAGCTGGGTTGTGGAAACGGTGTGTGCAAAGCTGGGGAATGGAAAAGTGTTGGTGTGGTGGTGTAATGCTTTTAGTTCCAATCTTTTTACTAGGCAAAAGAATCCCATGCTCACGATCGGACTACACATCCCATGCTCCTTCTCTTTTGGGTCGCTCCCACGCTCTTAGCTGGGGTTGGGACAGTGACGGTTTCGCAGGATAAAGACCCTTTTGCGGCTTTGCAGCTCAAAACACGGCCTTGTTGCCACCTTCCAAATCTGCAGACTTCGACCCCCATCATCCCCAGCCAGGAATTAAGGGCAGCTGAGCAAGGAACGCCTATTGCAGGCCTCTCCCACCCTGATTTCAGTGGAACAGGCCTCACCCAATCCATGGGACTGACGCTCCCCCCGCCTGAAACTTACAGGAAAGAAGCAGGAAAAAAAATAAGTGTTTGGTTTTTATTTCATATGAATTAAGCCAGTATTTTTTTTAAAAAAATGAGAATTTTCACCAAGTTACACTTTTCCCCAAACAACATTAAATTCTCTATAAATCAAGACACAGCATTGTCTTGGCGCTGGCAACATAAACTGGTGAGATGCAGGTAATGAAAAAGGCAAAGGCATTTTAAACCGCTTTAGCTTACTTTCCCCCAAAAACAGCTGAGAGCGTAGTGTTTTACCTTGTAAAAACAAACAAGTCTCAATTCATTCACCCCAGTCAAAAGGAAACAGGTATTTCTTGTGGATTTACAACCAGCACAAAGTTTTAGGGTAGCGAGGAAAAAACGAGATATAACTTGCAAGCAAACAAATGACAGTTGTATTTGAGTCTACATCGTTTTTCAGTTTTCCATTCTGCCATTTAAAATGGATGGGATAAGTGTGAGTTTCTTGCAATTCAAGTTAAGCATTTCATTTCTCCGACTCGCTTCCCTTCAGCCAAGTACCCATCTATAGGTGCAATAAAATGTAGATGACAAAAGCATCGCCAAAGAATGAAATTTAGAGGACAAACATCACGTGGAAAATGAAAATAAACCATGCGCGAGCTAGCTGAAATTACTAAGTACTTTAGTCTATCCCTGAAGAAATAGTGCAAATTTCTTAGTATACAATTTATTCTATTAATGTGCTCCACTTTCTCTTATACTGAAAATATACTATTCCTAAAATATTCCAATGTCCTCTAAAACTAAGAAATTTATAATATTTTGGAGTTTGACTTTAAACTTTAGAATTGTAATATTTACACTTTACAGAAAAGACTTCCATATCCTTAATTTATACATTTATCCTATAATTTCCTTTCCGCCTTATATTTTGCAGATCAAAACTTACACATAAAGTAATTTACAAATGGTAACCCCCCCCAATATTTTTAAAATAAATCATGTTAGCTACAAACAGTCCTCACAAATCCTATATTTCAGTTGTTCTGAACTGACCAAAGACCACTTTAAAAGTTTATATCCTAAGCAAAATATGTATTAAAAGATCAAGTCACAAGGGTTGTGCTGATTTTACAAGTGCTTGTAAGTTACACTTTAAAAGATTCCTGAAAGGAACAAATTATAAAATTTGACAGAAGACCAACATGATGACCAAAACAAAAAACAAAAAACACCAACCCTGCAAAGTTTAAATGTAGGGATTGGGCAACCGAGCACGGTCCAGATGTTCAACACAATCTGTTGCTGCTAGCAGTGTTATCTGGGGCTAATAGCAATCAAAGTGCAAAACATCAGAAGATTCCAAGTTGTTCACCCCTGATTTGAATCTCTTCAGTGCACAAACTTTCTGTAAATTGTTTTAATGTATTTGAGGAAAGACTAATCCATGACAGAATGTCATTCACACACAGATACGCACGCGCACGCACACACCTCCCTTCATCTCAAAAATTAAATGTTAATCTGCTCTGAAGATAAGGCCGCTGCTTAACAGGCACACATTTTCAGGAAATCTCAGTTATTGGTAGCTTGCTGTTGCTAATGCAGTTATCTTACGCATTAAAAATGGCATTTTATCGGAAAGAAACCGCAATTCACATAGTAATTGTTCCTCAAGACCAAGTGTCTTGCAGCCAGTCTATCTTTTAACTCTCCCCTCCGAGGCCCACACAAACTGAGGATTCAGAAGGTCCGCGCTGACACTGATGGCACTTTGCAGAGAGATGCACGGACTGGAGATGGAAAACGAAGTCATGCTATTCACAGAAGTGGTGATTAGTACTGAAAGCGCTAGCTAAGTATATTTGGATGCTCCGTGGTAAAAAAAACAAAACGAAAAACAAAACAACCCTTTAGGATAGTTGAATAGCATGTTCCCAGGCAAAAGGTTTCAAAAGGCACATAAATCAATTTTAAAAAGCCCCCTTGTATTCAGATCCTCTCCGTAGGGACAAGCGTTTTAGGAAGAAGCGTCAAATAAGGCATTGCAGTTTTCCTCTTGTCCCACACCTCTGAATAAGCACCGCTTTGTATGACAGGGTTCAGAGAGAAGAGCAAAACTTCTCTCTCTCGCCTTCAAAAGTGAGTTTGCACATGCGACATCATCTGTGAGGAAGAGGAGGAGGAGGAGGAGGAGGAATTGGACAATTTGGGATTGCTTGTGATTTGTAGTTCTTCCAGCCGCTTCATGTAATCGTCACGCAGGGCCAGAAGTTCCATGTAACGCTGTTCCACAGGGTTTGGCTGCTGAACAAAGGGAAGATATTTTAAAATACAAAGTTTGGCCATATTCAAGGCCACCAAGTAGAAATGGACTCCCCCCCTCCCAACGCTCCCAGGTATTAGTCATTCAATGAATTTTGACAAATAAGAAATGTATGGCAGCCATATAGCAGAATACAGAGAATGCTAGTTTATGGTGAACAAGCTAGTGATTCCTACTATAATTTCACCTCCACTTTGTTTTCAGTAGGATCAGTTGCTGAAGAAACCACGATGGTTTCTGCAGTATGCTGCTAAACCCAGGGGTCTGGTTTGCTTTGTTCCTTACAAGGTAAACGGACAAGGATGCAACAAATCCTTTTTGGGGATTATGTGAAACAAACCATCTCTGAGTCATACTAGATGGAAGAGCCAACTGTGTATGAATTACAGTTTGCATTTATTATCGTGTTGAATTTCCCAAAGCATGAGGCTCTTTGCTTTCCTGTCCCTTAAACTAGACTTTATCCAATATGCATGCCCCCCCCACCATGAAGGAGAAACACCTGCCCTAAAATACTTAACGTTCTTAGTTCAAACACGATGGGTTGTTTTTAACTTTTGTATGGCCTACGCCTGAAGCAAGTGCTATGCCATGTTTTCCCCAGTAAACTAATTTGTTGCTCTGCATCTTTCAAATGTGCTCCTTTTCAATCACACAAAAATCTTCGCAACAAACACATAAGCAAAGAGACGTTCCGAACACTGCCGGCCTTTCTTCCAGACGCCGGGGTGCTGGAAATGGCGTCAAAGGCCCACTGCAGGGAAGAAACGGCTGGATCTTTGTTCCAGTGGCTCTCTCAAAAGCTGCACTTGTCAAACACAGAAGCTCTTTTCTCCTTGAGCTCTCAGCTCTTCTGCCAAACCTCGAGGATAAGAAGCGCCACACATGGGCCATCTTTCTCTGCTGGGTAGATCTGCTTTCAAAAGCTGCTACCCATTGATCCACAAAAATGCGGGAAGAACAACCTTAAGGAAACCCTGGAGTTCAATATTGACGTGGAAAATGGGATTACTCGTCTTCCGCTATAATTCTCTACCTCTCTGATGTTTTCTCTGCTCATCGGTTGAATAAGGGGTCTTCACTTTTCGTTGTGGGTTTGTGCTTATGACAGTTGCAGCCTGGACTGTGTGAAACTGACTTGTGGGGTTTAAGCCTTTCATGAACTGAAAAGGATATGCTTTCTTATGCCCAGCATAAGGTTCTGCTGATAAACTCCATTTTTAGTGTCGATGCTGCTTCCGTTTATTGGGATGAGAAACTGGCAATTGTTACCTTCCAATATTATTCTATGAAAATGTATTATTGTATTCGTTAATATGTTTATGTGTTCAGCCGTTTTTAGTTTTTTTGATGTTTTTTCCTGAGGGGTGGGCGGGTATTTTTTACTTTCCTAGATAGTTTAGTATAGGGATCCCCCCTCCCCTATATAGCTCTTTTTATACGACAGCTAAGGTGTCTTTGTTAAATCTTGCTCTATACAGTATTATAAACTAATAACTAAGGTATTTGAAGAGATGTTAATTATAATGCTTTTAACATGTAACAGAATTATATTTTTATAAGAGTGGAACATCTTATTATTGTATATACTCACATTTAAGTCCATCTGCGGATAAGCCGACCCTTGTATTTTTAACCAAAATACCATGAAAAATGCACCACCCGTGGATAAGCCAGCCCACATTTTTCACGGCATTTTGGTTAAAAATACGAGGGCTGGCTTATCCGCAGATGGGTTTATCCATGAGTACACATGGATATACGGGTGCTTTAAAAAAGTGTTATTGTATATACGTGCAGATGAGCCCATCTGCGGACAAACCAAACCAAGTTCTTATGGGTGTGTGTTTGGCACCTAAAATTTTCAGCTTATCCACGAGTATATACAGTATGGGGAACCCTGTTTTGAGAAGGATAGAAAGACACGACTGAAGACTGGGACATCTGTTTGTGCAGATGCCACAGAAAATATGAGCTCAGATTATGATCCTCAGAATTGTTGCCAGGCAGAATAGAGAACAGTGGAGCAGAGGGACTGATGATGTGACTCAGTATACAACAGCTTCATAATCCTAAACTGGGTTAAAAAAAGAGATTATAGATCTACGCCATATTAGCTTTAAGGTATGGTAAGAAACTTTACCTGCTGCCTGATCCGCGGGTTCCATCGGATGTAGTAGTTAACCCAAAGTTCCAGGTGGCGCATGCTTGCTACTGGGTAAAGTGCTCGATTCAATTCTTTAGTATAAAAGGGGTTGGTATATTTTGATTTTGCACTATTGATCAAGGACCACAGAGACAGTGTTTTCTCACTCAGTTTCTGCAAAGAAACAAGAACCAGTTTCAGCACTAACTGTAACTACCTGATGTACCCAGGCTGCATGCGCCATTCACATAACGACCGTCTTCTATAAGTAGTTAGAGAATAGATACGTTTGACTTGAAAAGCATATCCGAAACCATCTCTCCACTTTCACACCACCTTAGTTGGCTGTAATTGCACGTGAACTGGCAACCTAATTCTTCTAGGAAGCGTACAAACAGGATAAGTAGAAACTTACCTCCGAATGCAGCCACCTTACATGGTATTTATGACTCCCACCATTAGCCTGTCACCTGTTTCCTATCACCCAATGCTGCAACTGGATCTGGACATGCAAGCAGACATGTACAGCTTTCATGTTAGGTCATCAATATATTAACTCACCTCTTTCTCTCTCATGGAGTCACAGCTGTACAAAAATGTACCAAAGCGGCAGCTGTACAAGTGGTCCAGAATAGTAATCAAAAATTGTTCATTGAATTCAAAGGCTGTTGGAAACTAGAGACAAACAGACAAAAGTTTAGGATACAATATAAAGCCCATGGTAATATAAACAGCAGCTTTAAGTAGAATAGAGTGCAAATTATTTCACATTCATGTTATTTCTGGTTCCATGTTCTTTTCAAAGCTGCTTCAAAGTTATATCCCACCGCCCTCTACTATACAAACGTGTATCAGGCTCTACCTCCTTGTATGAAACACTGCAATAATAAAACAATTCCAAGCCAGTAAAAGTAATATCAAAATAACTGTAGGAATATTAGAAATGAAAATACTGCATCGGTCCCTAGAAGCGCCTCTGCCTAAAAAAATAAAAGGTGTTAGAGAACAGCCTTCTTCATAGTGAAAAATGGGGTAGGTAGTGAGGACGTTCCAAATTCTAGATAAAACAGGTAATCCTCAGGTTCCAACCATTCAGTCAGCAACCATTCAAAGTTACAACGGTGCTGAATGAATGGTAGTAACGACTGGTCCTCAAAGTTCTGGCCACTGCAGTGCTCTCACAGTCATGTGATCAATATTTTGGTGACTGGGCTGCATTTATGACCATCGCAGCATCCCACAGTGATGTTCTCCTGCCTTGCACAAACTCACTGTGTGCATCCTGGGGCTGCACCCTTGCCCAGCATCTGAATCCTGGGCCAGTGGGAGAAGGAAGAAGACGGTGAAGGTCAGCTGGGGAGGTGGCAGCAGGGTTAGGCGGTGGAGTGCAGGGTGGCCCAAAAGGCAGAGATGGGAGGGGAGATAGGTGGGTGGGGGAAATGAAGCAGAGGTAGTTCGCAAAGGGCAGGAGAAGCATGTGGTCCTGGCCTAATGCCTGCAACTGGGAATGCTGGAACTGCCGTCGCTAAGCTCACATGATATTTTGCTTAACAACCACTTCGCTTAGCGACAGAAATTCCAATCCCAATGAGGGTCATAAGCTGAGGACTACCTGTATCAGCAAAATGCCTTTTCTTTCTTCCTCACCAACCAAACTTACATAAAATTTCCCTAAAGGCAATTTATATGGGATTAATGTCCTAAGAAATAGTTTGAAACAACTGTTCCTGTCTAACCTGAACTGTTCAAACTATTCCAGCGCCTTTGCAAACTACTAACGCCTTTGCAGTGGTCAGAACAGTTCTGTAACGTTGGAACAGCCACTGAAGCTTGAAATGTTTGGACTTTCAAACACCGGGCATACCTCTACTCTAAAGAACGTGGGAAATGAGTTTTAAAGGATCGAGTCAGCATCTCCAATAGAGCTGGTACTATGTTGGCAGGACATGGACTCATCTATTCAGTTTAGTGGAACTTTATTCTAAGTTCCAACCCACTTAGATCAGGCATAGATGTCCACAGCCCAGCCATGATGACACAAGAATGATGACACATGTGTAATGATGTACAGTAAAGTAGTACAGGTCATACCATAGAAGAAAGAAAGTTGTAAGAGATATGTATCTCTTCCTTTTACCTGCTTGCTTGAACCTAACCTAAAATTTTCCAGCTTGTACACTAGTAGAACTAGGAATAATTGAGGACAATCCCACATAATTTATGCAAGTATAACAAGAGGCAAGGGATAATCATCATCATCATCATCATCATCATCATCATCATCATCATCATCATCATCATCATCACTTGTTTGCTGCCTAACTACCAGAGACTCTTGGTGGCTCACAGCAAAGAAATTACAATAAAGAAATTACAACAAAACCAATTAATTCTTCACCCTCTTCAAAAAACACAGCTTACTTGCTTAGACATTTGCCACACGCAGTCAATGAACTGGAGGAAGATGGGCGACCTATCAGCATCAGCGTGATTCTTGTCTCCATGACCAATTCTCTGAAGTGAAAAAGGGAAGAAAAATCAGACCAACTCTAATTAAATGAGTTCGCTTAGCTTTGCTTAAGTAGCAGACCCTTTCACAGAATTTTGGGAACAAGCTTACTTCCCTTACATAGAATGAAGATACCCCCACCCCCCGCCCCACCTAAATTAGACTAAACCAGCAGGAGCTTTTGAAAGAGGTTTTTTTGGACAGGGCATCATGCTTTCCAGGTGAAGTGGTTTAAAAAGTTATTTAGGATACATGTTACTTTTGGAAGTTTGTAGTATATAGCAAGAATCTTAAAATGTAAGCAGCAGCAGTAGAAGCAGCAGACGGATACGTTTTTTCAGATGACAATACACCCAGAGAAAAACAATTTCAAAAGATTCTATAAAATGCCCCATTATGAAAACATACCAAGACACCAAACACATGAGTATCAGGCTTGGTCTGCAGCTGAACCCAGCTTTTCAAATATCCAAGCAATTTTGGCATTATCAGGCTGTTGACAAACCGCAGCTAAGTACAAGCTACTGACTCACAATGAAATGCACGAGAGCGTAAGGCAGGCCTCCACGCTCACTACAGGGACAACAGTCTTGCTCTGTATCAGTTTTAATGGGATTTCAGTGAAAGTGATTTTGCCCGGACTCATTTTTTTGGCTCTCACCGATGCAAACTTATGCCCAAAGCTTATCCACTCCTTTTGCACCAAGACTTCGAAGCCCACGATGGTTCGGTAGTAGCTGTCCAACATCAACATGGCTAGAGAGGTGAGCTGTGCTGTGCGGTCCCAACCATCACTGCAATGCACCAGAACAGAACTCTTTCCAGAAGACACTTTGTCGGCTACTTGAATGGCACCTGTTAAAACCAGCTGACAAGAAAGGAGATGATGAAACTGAGACCGGTGGGGAGAAGTCCCCCATCCTGCTATTTTAATTCAAGAACTTAGACCCCAAGTCCGTGGCATCAGACTGTGGTAAGCACACCAAACACCATCGGCCTCATCTGTACCTTGATATGTTCAAGCCAGTGGGTGGACTCCAAACTTGATAACCAGTGAGATTCTTCTACATGAGGATAGACGATATCTTTCAGTTTTTTCAAAGATTCTCGCATGACGTGAATATTATGGATATCTAGGAAGAGGAGCTCAGCATTGGGATAGGCATCCTCACTTTCATATCCACCACCAGTTGCCTTGGATCAAGAGGAAGTGAGCATTTAATTTCCTTTGCACAGCCACTGCAGTCATTATATATTCCCAACACAACTGGTAGGTTTGTAAAAATACTGAGGAGTTACGTAATATCATTGTCTAAGCACAGGGGGGAAACATCATTCAGTTCTGATTAGAATATACATACATACATACATACATACATACATATATATATATATATATATAAATTTGATAGACACAGTAGATCAATCAATACGGAACTTTATTTTCTACAATTATTTGCAGACCACCTATTTGAGTGACTCTAGACGACTTAAAATAACTATATTAAAAGCATCCAAACATCCATAATCAAAAGTTCCTATAACAAACTTTATTAGAAAGACATTTCCTTCTATCTTGAGAAAAACTGACTTCCTAACAGAGCGTGTGTGATGAAACATATGCATTTCTCCATTGAGTACTGATTTAATCACAGCCTCAGGGTCCTCTAAATCCCACTGTAGAATCTAGGTTCTCCTAATAAAACTATTTTTAAGTTTAAATGTCAATGTTGAGATCGTTATTTTTATTTCCCAAATAGACTTAATGCAGCGTAAATGGCATTACAAGAAAATAGAGTTTTCACAACCTTCATCCCCAATCTAGCTGCTAAAACTGTTCCACGTCTGGGACTGGAGAATACAAGACGAGAAGTATTATGGAGTTCCAAAATCTCTAAGCAGAACTTCCAAATTATTTCCCAAATCAGGGTTAAATCAGCCAAGTTCTTTTAAATTTAGGAAAGAGCAAGGGCTTCTTCCTATCAACATGATGCAGAACATTGCGGGATAGAAGCTGATACAAGCTGCCTTCTCTGGAGCAAAGAGAACGAGTTAATTTTAGCTATGGAAGGCACTGAGTAACCCTAGGGTGTGGCTCAAGAAACAACAAAGCAAGGGGAATAGACAGGAGGGAAGGAATGCAGCCACTAGACTTCTCATAAACAACAGAAAAAATTCTGCATTTTTTCCCCATTTAAGGTTATAAGCAATGGACTTTTACCCACTGTTTCCAAAGTTTAAGTCAAGATTACTCTGTACTTTTTTAAGCAAGCTTTTACGAAGAGGTTAGTTTCTAGGCCCAACCTTGGATACTGTAAACAATACACACAGAACACAACACATATACACACCCAAGTATACTTTTTCAGTCAAATTTGCCCCATGAATTCATCTGTTCCCTGAGAAGGGGCAGCAATGGTTTGCTTCAGCAGTCATCTTTAAAGAATTAGGCAACTGAAAGACTTTATCCTCCATCAGGCTGCAAAACATTCTTTTTTAAGCAAGCATTTAGGAATGGGGAGGGAGCTGAACTAGCCCATTATTTTTGGGATGATTTTCTGGTGACTTTATTGAAAGTTTACTTACTCGGAGTTTACTGTTAATGTAAACAAGGTGGAACTATTTAAAATCTAGAAATACTCCCAGCTGATCTTCTGACTCCAGAACTTTAAATCTTGTTGGCAGGAAGTTGCATTCTTCCCACAAGCCAACCCTCCAGCAGATTCTGCGGCTGTGACAAAACGATAGCATTCTGGTCAACCACTAACACTGACTGTGCAGAATAAAAGTGCCCCTTGCCCGTCAAAAATCCAGAAAGCGATTTGAAGTATTAGCAACTTCTCTAGCCTACTGCTTTCCCAATCGTGGGATCGCTGGATGGATTTAGAATGGAAACTTTTGGAATTCTGAGTCCGAAGAGTCTTTGACTCAGGGTACCTGGAGATCCCCAGAACAGGGTTCCTCAACCTTGGCCACTTGAAGATGTGTGGACATGCTGACTGGGGAATTCTGGGAGTTGAAGCCCACACATCTTCAAGTGGCCACGGTTGAGGAACCCTGCCCCAGAGGACTAAAAGCTCAGTTAGCAGTGCCAGGAAAAAGGGTTTAACTCTCAACAGAAAGATGAAGAGGACATCTGCTTACTTTATTAGCAACAGCATTTACGCTGGGCCTCGCATCATAGATCGTCAGTTTCGAGAGCTGGCCGTTTGTTTCCCTTATGATTTCCAGATACCTTTCATCATCTTTATTTCTTTTGCCACTCATGCCCACGAGCGGCTGGCTGGAGCGCGTGATGACAGCTTGGGTCTCTGGATGGATCCATGACAACACCTAATGGAGCAACACAAATGTTCCGTCAGAGCCCGATGACTTTCCACAATGTTTTCAGGGGAATTTTTGTGGACAACAGCGTGGCTTAAAATTTAGACCCAAGCCCTAAATAACCCCTTTATTGGGTGACTGTCATGTCACAGCACATGGGAAAGATCTAAAGGCTTGCCAACGTAAACTTTCCTGAAGATTTTGCATGGTGGAGTATATGCCACAGCAAGATCATAATATTTTAAAAGGCAGCTCAGTAGAACTTGGGAGGTTGACGCTTATTAAAAGAGCTTATTATTATAAGAGAGAATCAAAATAGGTATGTCCAGACAAAATAATGCAATGGGCAAAACTTTTCTTCAGAAAAGAGCTATTTCAACAAAGAGATCAACTCTGATGAGAAGTGCATAATTCCTTGTTTTCCTGTTGTGGCCTTTCTGGGTGTTCTCTGAGCTTGGTTGTTTGCTTGAAGATGTTTCATTGCCCGACTAGGTAACACCTTCAGTGTGCGTGTGGGGTTTGCTCCCTGTTTATATGCAGTAGCTAGCCCTGCCAGTGTTGGGGGTGTGTGGTTTTCTCCTTGGTAGTTCCTTGATTAGGGTATTGTTTTCTGCTTGATTGTCTGGTGTTAATCTCTGCTTATCTGGGTATTGGCTGCTGAGAGGATGTATTCTGGTCTCAGAGGGAGCAAACCCCACACTCACTAGCACTGAAGATGTTCCCTAGTTGGGTGATGAAAGGTCTGCAAGAAAACAACCAAGCTCAGAGAGCACAAGGACTCCACAGTTCAACCACAGCCACATATATTCTCTTCTATTGTCTTCCAATTCTAGGTGCTGACAGAGCTCCAAAATAATCCTTGACAAAGTTTTGAGGGGCCAAATAGACGCTAACATTAAAATTCTCCTTAGCAATTAGTGACTACTTAATGGGACAGTTAGTCGAAAGAGAGAATGAAATTAACCCCATTTTGATGTGTTATATGAAATGTCATTCCCTTTGCAGAATACTCAAAACATATGTTTTATAATATACAATTCTGTTGCATCCTTTGGAGTTTTAACCACAGAGACCAATTTTTATAGCTTAAGTCACTTACTGGTATTCGGCATCGGGATCTAAAAGCAGAAACCTTCTTGAGGTCCTCATCTGTGGCGTTATATGGCACAACCAGGAGTGATGGATATGTGTCACACAGTGCGTAGTGTTCGTTGAGAAACGTTACCCTCCACTGATCGTTAGGCAGACGCTTAGAGAGAACCAAGATGGTATTTGTATGCCAACTTGTCATATCAACAATATGACAATAAACAAAGAGGAACAAGTCATGCATTATTATGGCCACAGGGTGGCAATAACCCACCAATTTACCAGGTATCTCTACTAGTCAGGACCTAGAGTAACAGATGTGAGTTTAAAGGATGCCTGTAAGACAAAGTGCCACTGAATGATTCTTCGCTGTTTTTATTAATTTTATTACGAGCCTACTTGGCAACACAAGAATGCTTTTTTTATTAGCTGCTTTGGAATACATACAGGAATGTCTGGCATTCTTGAAAAAAAGAAACTCTTCTCTACAGGAAAAAAATAAATTTTTAAATCTTGCCCCAAAGAGTACTAAAAACAGTAACTAAGTAACTAAGGGGAAGCACCTAAGTCTTACCCGACAACATGGGAGAAGAACATGCGTGGGAAGTCAAATGTTGTGGATGGAGGAGAGTTGCTGAATTTATTTTAAGGTGTGTAAGTTTTAAGGAGGGATTGTAATCTCTCCTCTCTTTAGACTTGCCTTCGCTGCTGGTACCAATCAATAAACCAATCTGTGCTTCAACGAAGGTGTGCTCGTTTCTGGTTTAGATGAACTCCGAAATTCTCCTACAGTAGCCTACAGCTCCCAGGCTCCCTTACCATCAATTATGCTGGCTGGGGCTGGTGGGAATTGTAGCTCAGCAACATCTGGCAAGCTAATATCCTGCTTTCGTATTTTAAATATTTATTACACATTTAAGAATAAATGACATTGAAGACGCTTCCACGTTCAAACGGTACAGCCAATTTCTCAGGCAAGATGACCTTACAGGATTCTAGACGAAGTTCTGTTCTTAGATTTCTCCTTCATACTAGATGGGATGAATAAATTGAATAACACCCAACTCTTTATGTATAAAATCTAGCACATTCGCTTATCTGGATGGCCCCTTTTCTTCAAACCTGAACCTGTAAACCTCAAACCTCAACCAGATGACTGGCTGAGTCCAGATCCTTCTTTTCTCAGGAAAAAAAAAAAAATCATAGGAAGTACAAATCCAGAGATGTTCTACTTTTAAATACTAAAAATCTGTAGTACAAAAATAGTACTAGGCTTTCAAATCCTTCAATGCAGGGAAGGAGAGAAACAATTTCTGCTGCACATGAAGAAGTCTGGAAAACTCAAAAACTTCACATGCTTTTGCAGTATTTTGGCAAATCATTATAAAAGTATAGCCCAACTAGGGATTTGGGATTTATTGTTTTCCCCGTGCACCAACATGGCTATTGTGTTTTTTATATACTTGTAAACAGGTTTGTTTTTTTCAATGTATGAGCTGTGTCACAACTGATGCCTTCAACAGATTTGATTTACTTCAACAGATGCTATTTAATCCAGGGCACGCCACTTTGAAATGTCTTATATAGAACTCATCCTTAACATATGCACCAATTCCACAGTAAAACTGGTTTTAACCCACTGGGAAATTAAAGGAAGAAACAAAATTGGCCACAAGTATGTTGCATGATCATTAAGGATCAACCATTCCTTTACCCTCTATAATACAACACAAGGTAAAAACAAAGAATGTAATACAGAACGTCTGTATTTTATTTTATAAAAATCTGTTTTAGGTGAAGCACAGATATCTACCTACCTACCTACCTACCTGCCCATCTATCCACCCCATTTCACTTGCCTGGCATTGCCCAGCTCATATCTTAAAAACTAAAAGAGCGCGCTCCCTATTTTCTGTTCATTTAGTTCAATTTGGTCATGGAATAGAAAGAAAAATGCATAAAGAAAACCTGAAAAATCCAGAGGGTAAAGGAATACAAAAGAGAAGAGAAAAACTAAGCTTACTTGTCTTCTGTATTCAACCATAGGATTATAAACCAGCCAACCATTTTCAGCAAACTTCTCTTCATTTATAAATGCAAAAAAAGGCTGAAAGGATAACAAGGAAAAATTAGGAAATGGAATTCCGAAAGAAGGAAGTAGATTCAAGATGCCAAACTACCTGCAGTCCCTGCCAAACAGATTGCTTGGCTCATGTTCCTGATTATACAAAAGCCGCTCTTCTGAAATTCAAGGGTTAATTCTCCCATTCAAAACTTGCTTTTATTTTATTCAAGAGAAACGTAAAAGCCAAAGAGAGCTTCTCTGTCTCATTAAAGAAGGAGAGATCCTTGCGAGGCTAAAGAACACCCCCAAACATTGACAATAGCCAAGGCATAAAGCAGGTTACTTGATTTAGCAAGAGAAGTCATCCTTTGCTTGAGAGAGAGGCCTGAACTCTACCATTAACTTTGAACTAGTACAGACTTAGCATGCCCTAACGAATCAGGAAAAGGTGCCATATTTCCATTATCTGGCGAGCTTATCCTTGCCATTTTTAATTGTTTTTAGTTGTAGTTCATGCACACACATTTGACACTCTGGTCAGAAGTCTCGGCTAAGTAGCAAATCTTCCTCATGTCACTCGTGAACTGGATAAATATAACTAATATTTTGGTGGGTGGGAGAAAAAGGAACAGGATTGACACAATGGCAAAGCACAACTGGTATCATGCTCCAGTTCTGAACTTTTCTGCTGTTTGAGCTGGACCAAGACAGTGTTGGCACCTATAACTCAGGCTGCATCTACTCTGAAATGTCTCAGTCTTTTACAGGTAGTCCTCATTTAGCGACTGTCTTGTTTAGCGACAGTTTGCAGTTATGATGGAGATGAAAAAGTAACTTTACAACCTTTTGTAAAGGTCATATTTACGACCTTTGCAGGTCTGTAAAGCAAAGGAAAGCTGAAGTAAGACCATAAGCCCAGTCACGGTTTCACTTAGTAACCAAGTTGCTGGTCCCAATAGTGGTTGCTAAACAAGGATTGCTTGTAGTTAGAAATATCATTAAAAAATGAATGCACTGATTTTGTGCTGGAAAGGGGGCTAGAACACATTATCTTTACTCTTAAACCTTTATCATATGAATGAATCCACTCTGTCCAAATTCCTAGCATTTACATGGGTTTGGGATTTGTGTAAAATTTGGCAAATAAGGATGAAAAGTGAGGCAAACTGAAACATGTTTTTGGAACATACAAAGGATCTGCTACTCCTGAAAGGTAAGAGGTTAAAATATGGCAAGCCGAAATAACACGGCATCCTTATAGCATTCAGAAATGGTTTCTGGATAAACAAAACACAATAAAAAAATAAATAAATGAACTAATAAATAATGAATAAATAAATGATTACTCTAGGGAAGCCGCATACATAAATAAAATAAATAAAGCATTCAAGAAAATAGCTTTACCATCAAAGGACCAGCAAATGGAGCTGTATTCTCAGTAACATTCAAGTGAAAATAAATTCTTCTTCATAAAAATGATTGAAGTTATATGCTTGCAAACAGAGCAGTAAATCTGCAAAAATATTTTCTGCACACTTCTCATACGAAAAGGACTCTTGCAGATGCTCCCATTGAGGGAAATTATCAGGCTTGTGTCTGGCCAATGGATAAACTTGCTGCTAAGTGAATACTGCTAGGGCAGGCAGCAAAACTGAAGTCTAGTGTGAAAATTGTTCCCAAATTTGCTTTTCTACATTTTAGGCAAACCTCCCCCCACCTGCAACAACCTCAAAATAAGTTCAAAAAAGCTTACCAAGTTATGTGACTGTGGAAAAGCATATTTTGTCAGGAGTTCAAATATATCTCTTCTGCTATGACCTTCCTGTTTCAACGCAAAGCGTAAATTCCTCATATCCTACAATTTAAAACATACCACACAATTTCTTAAAAGAACGTTTGCAGTCAAGGATTAATGTTATGCAATTTGCTCCAGCAGCTTTCTGGACTGAAAGGTAAGGCTTTAGGTCAGAGGTGGGCAACATATAGCCCATTTTTCACAATATTTACCTGTCCCGCTGTAGCCTTTGGTCCTACTAAGACAATCAGGTGCCACCAAAAGATTGTCCATTTCTCCTTTTAAGCAATCTATTAAAGTACAGTAGGAAATGGAATCCATGTGTTTGTAACTCTGCAAAGTTTCTGATTTGATTTGACAGTACAGGTGATCCCCGGGTTATGACCACTCATTCGGTGACCGTTCAAACTTGCGATAGCGCTGAACGAGTGGTACTTAAGATCGGCCCTCAGAGTTCCGGCTGTCACAACGTTCCTGCAGTCACATGATTGTGATCTGAGCACTCAGTGCCTGACTCATAATTACGACCTTGTAGTAAGCCACAGTCATGTGATTGCGATTTCCGACATTCCCTGCCAGCTTCCCACAAGCAATGTCAATGAGGAACTCAGCAGGAAGTCACAATCATATGAGGGCCTCGCCTAAGTACCCACATGGTCCTAACTTAATGATGGCAATCAGGACTGCTAGAACTGTTGTCACTAAGCAGCATGATCATGTGACATTGCGTTTTACAACCGCCTATCTTAGCAATGGCAATTATGCTCCCAATTGCCGTCGTAACCTGAGGACTACCTGTATTTAGATTAAATCACCCTACTGAAGCACATCCAAGAAGCTGTATTTTATCTACTGAATTGGAGTTGTGCCACTTAACTTAAATCACTTCTCTGGCCTTTCAACACCTTTATGTGAATTGCAGCACATGAACAGAAGTGTCCTGCTTTGGTTGTACCTGGTCAAAGTGGCTTAGCTCTACCTTGATGCTTTGGGAATCAGAGCACATCACTTCCAATGCTTTGCTTAAGGGCTGAAATGGATTATGTCATCCCTAAGTTCAAAGGGAAGGGCCGAGGTACATTGCTTCAGTTTTTCTTGGGCCCCTTAAAAAAACTCCATAAATAATTACTGTACGACAGTGTTATCCGGGATTTAGAAATCAACAAGACCTTTATTTTCCACTTCTCTAGGATACATGATCTCATATAACAAAATATCAGCCACCTGTTTATTTTTAAGTCTTACCTTACAAGTAATATCTAATCCGTAGGAATTCTCTCCTCTGCTTGAAGCACCTCCCATTTTCTCAATCCTTGAAATAACCCCCAAAGGAACGTCTAATATCACTATAGGATCCTGAACAGACCAAAGGTAAAGATCAAATTACAGCAGAGGATTCCTAACAGATTGCACTTCCACATTGCTTGTCATAAAATATATTTGTATCTTAAAAGCTAACAAAGATACCACATTAATTGGATGGACATTGTCAGATTAAAAAAACAACAGCCTTAATGGGCCAACGAGGCAGGAAGTATTGGTATCAAATAGCCCTCCACAAGCAGGATTTAATAAAAATCTCATATGCTAAATTGCTACCTATTGCAACTACCTTCTCTGCTGTAGCCCCCACTCTTTGGAATATTCTGCCTCTGGAGGTGAGATTGGCCCCCTCACTCCTGGCCTTCCGGAGAGCTTTGAAGACCTGGT